CAATTCTGTGATTCTGTGTGATTCTGGGATTAGTATGCAAGAACAACAGATTTACACTGGGGAAGACAGAAGTTATTAGCAGAATTTCAGCACAAACCTGTGCATAAATGATGAATGGAATTGAAAAATGGGTGCCGTGATTCAGTACCTGCATCCAAGGATGCTCTTCTTCAATTTTAGTATTTGTGAGGTACCCATTAAAACTAAGCATGGAAATTACCTGAAATTACAGCCACGCCTTTGAATCACTGGATGACACAGTGTTCAATAGAGATTGTCAAAAAGAATGAACCGTATTCAATCACACTACTCTCACGAGCATTATTAGCATTTTAGTGATAACAATTTTTTATATTAAGAATTCAAATATTACTTCATCTTCAATTCTGTTTCTTGTATGTTTTTTAATGTAAACAAGTACAATAGGTACATATGTACAGTGGTGCAATTATAACTTAGCAGTAAATAAATTCATCTATATTGGGAGTTGCATGCTTAGAACCTTTTTACTGATAGGCATGCACAGAAAAACACTTGGAGACCGCTGTCCTAGACAACCATAGATGGCATTGCAATATTTGCAAATTGAACAAGACAAAGAAACACTCTGCAAGAAAATACTTCAAAACTTCTGCTTTGAAATCTGCCCGCATACTCTACTGCACTACTTCCAGAAATCTCTGTGATCTCAATTCTAAAAGTCCTTTGTACTCATTCCTTAGTGTCCTGTCCTACTTATAAGATATCCTTCTCAAGCTTTATCGCTACACCCAAATCAGTTCAATCACAAGAACCCTTAAAATTCTTCTTCTTATATCTGGAAAGCGTTTGAATTCCCTACTTTGAGCAAGTTAGCAGAAGTTTTAAAATATGCACATTCCATCCTGGGGCAGGACACAGACTCTATGAACACTTACGCCGTTTCTCCCACGCATCCTTAGTTGTGCTTGTCCGGATTTCAAATTGCTAGGGTGAATCTGGTATTATTTCTTTGCAGGAGAGCAGAGCAATCCTGACATGAAAAAGTGTGCAAGCTTTTGGTAACTTCTCTGTCTTTACAGACGGGATCCCTCTATCTTCTTCCTCTACTAGGTAGCAGTTAGAATCTCTAAGAGAAAGTTGGAAGATCTAGCCTTATTTTCTTCCAGCCAGGATAAATAATCTATAGACCGTTATGCTCCAGCAGAGTGAGTATATAAAAAATAGGCTCTAGAAGTGGAAATCTGTGCTTCTCCATCAATTATCTGGCAGCAATGAGATGCTAATCACTGTAATCTACACCTGTTTCATCATTTGGCTTTCGTGTGGCCGGCCCTTACAGGTATGGCTGAGAGGTAAGGTTCAACCTATATCCTTTGTTTTGTTAGGAAAAGTCAAGCAGCTGCCAAGTTCGCAATGTCTTTCCTGCAAGCCTATGGCCCACCATGAGAATTCTTACTAAACAGTTGCGCATGTGAAGAAAGTTGAATGCTGTTAACTTCATGATGTTGAGCAAGAGCAATTCGATTAGTCTCCTCAAGCAGTTTTTAGAGATTTTGGGGGTTTGTGTACAAAATCTAATTTGCTCTATACTTTCTGAAAATGTCTTCCATTTCTTGCATTTTCTGAGACAGAAATGTTTTTTTCCCTACCCTCACATGTACGTATGGGGTGCAATCCTGACATGAAAAAGCCTGCAGGCTTTGGAAACTTCTCTGTCTTTACATACATAAATTCTGAGGGCTCTGTGAAAACTGACTGAGGATTATAACACAAACTTAAAAATGCATCTGAGCCCTTTAAATTCAAATTCTTTCTCTAATATGAAACAATGGAAAGAGAATCCTTGTCATATTTGCATACTTCGAGATAGCAGCTGGGCTATTTATCATCGAAAATGTAGAATAAAACACATATTGAAGGACTTAATATGAGAGTTTCTCCTCTGAGAAAAAGAGGCGATCATGTGATGAGAACATCTAGTTGGGTTCAATACTCCTTAGCATAGCTAGAGCTTTTAGGAGCCGACGAAAAGCGGAGTGAAACTTGTGAGTTCTTAAGAACTGCAACGTCCAGTTTATTTTCCTCTTTTTGTCTACTAATTGCTATAATTGAGTCAATGATGGGACTTCTAGGAAATGGGACTGTCTTGGCTGTCAGTTCAACTAGTTGCATCAGGAGCAAAATATTGTCCTCCTATGACGTGATTATGATCTTTCTGGGCTTATCCAGGTCCTTTTTGCAGTTCTGGATGATGCGGGATTTCTTCCCAAGTATTTTTTGTCAACTTTCCTTTCATAAAGAAAACTTATTTGTAACTTTCATAGTTACAGGTTTTTATAACTCTTCCAGTTTTTGGTTTGCTGCCTGGCTTAGTGTCTTCTATTGTATCAAGGTCGCCAGTTTTACCCAGTCATTCCTCATCTGTCTGAAGCAAAGGATTTCCAGTCTGACACCCTGGATGCTGACAGCATCATCTCTTTTTTCCTTTGCAACCTCTTTTCCCTTCTCCTGGGATAACTGCAACACACACAGCAACTTCACTACTCCTTTCACCGTGACAAACTCTTCAGAAAGGATAGTCACAAGGAAAACTAAGAGTTTGGTTTTGAGCCTTCTCTGTAACGGTGGTGTAGCTTAGCCTTCAGTAATGCTTGTTTTTTCAAGCGTCCTGCTGATTAGATCTCTGTGGAGGTGCACCAGACAGATGCAAAATAATGCAGGTGGCTTCAGGGATCCCAGCTTAGCAGCTCTTATTGGTGCCATCAAGACAGTCTTCTCCTTCCTCCTCCTGTACATTCCAAATTTGATTGCTTTGATTCTCATTTTATCTGACACTTTCGTGCCTTTAAGCACTGAGGAAGCTGTATGTGTTGTTGTAGTGGCTGCCTGTCCTGCACGACAATCTACGGTCTTAACCTGGAGCAAGCTCAAATTTCGAGAGCTGCTCACCAGCATTTTGCACCACACAAGCTGCTGTGTCAGAGCAAGATGCAGTTGAAAGGCCAGGGCTAGGCTGCTCTTTCCAGTTTAGATCCAAACCAATTAAATCGAAGTCACTGCAGTTACAAAATAATCGAAACATGAAAGAACATATTACTGTTCTTTTGTTCTGTTTTGTTCTTTTGTTCTGTTGTTATTGTGTAGAATGATTGAAATAAATAGCAAGAAAAGGAAGGTGCAAGGGGAAAAAGCAGGGGAGAATGGAAAACCTTTGATGCAGGACAGAGAAGAAATAGCATAGCAAACAAGGAGCAAATCTAGTAGTCTAAAAGCTGAGGGAAGTGTTAGTTTCAGATTCTTACATGCCAGTGCTAGGGGCTGGCTTGCGCTGCCCTCACCTCAGCCCTCACTCAGCTCCCTGTACTCGAGCCTGGTTCTCTGATGAAGCAAAGCTGTCTGAGAAATCTTGGCGTGCCTCGGAGCTTGAGAAAAAAGCCAGAAGAAATCTTGCCCACAGAATGCCATTGGGCACCCAGAATGGGAGCAGCCTTCTCTAGTTTTCAAGCATTATCTCCCTCTGAACTACGCTGCAGCAGCATTGAAGCCACACCTATGGCTGTCCACGTACCCTGATTCGGACCCTGACCTGCAGACTCCATTCAGCAGATTTCACCTTCAGTCTGTCTCCTCACAACGGACTTGCCTGGCGGTCTAGACTCTTGGCTCACCTTGGCTACCGTCACCAGGCCTGCTTTACTCCCCACGTTTCCGTGCAGAGGGTTTGCAGCCCCTGCTGGCCAGGCCATTTCTTCTTGCCTGCCTTGTTATGATTCTCAGCTTCCAGATTCCTTCCTCGTTTGCCTTTGCTGCTCCCTTGCATGCATCAGCTAAAGGTTATGCTAAGCTGTGTTTGCCACCGTGCTTAATATTTATTTCATTTACTACCAAAGCAGGAAACATGGCTATTTACAAAAAAAAGCCTACAAGAAGTAGACGTGCACAGCATAGACTCCCTTCCCACAAGGAAAGGCTAAGAAAATGAACAGCCTGTTCACCATTCTAGTAGGTGGGTGGAGAATTGCAGAAATGTAAGTTTCCCTCCCTCCCAATTTCTTCCAGGGCGTTTTCCTCAGAGCTTTTCCTTGCTCTTCTCATCCCCACAGCATCTCCAGAAACATAATAGTGGAGAACGTTTGGACACTGTGTTAGTGATTCCTGTACAAACATACTAACAGAACAGAAAATACAGAAAGGGACAGGCAGTGGAAGAGGGAGGAGAATGGGGGGGGCGGGCGGGGAATAAAAGACTACTGTCCACTATCTTTTAAATGTCCATTTATTTAGTCATTAACAGAAACCTGTCAAAAGCAAATGTCATCTTACTTGACTCCCGTAAACTTCTTACAAAGGTAAACCGCCTAACTGCTTCTGTACCTTTCTAATTCTATTCTGCTGACTCCTTAGGGTAACAAAACACTTCAGCTTTTACTTTCCAAATACAGACTAAGGCAGAGAAGTGATAAAAAAAAATGTGCTTGGCTGAAAAGGGAAAAGCATTACTATTTTTCAACATGAAAGCTCTAATCTCTTCCCACCGACCTCCTTTTCCCAGCTTGGCTGATTGCTGTGGAATCGCGCAGGTGGGGGGAGACCTGCAGTGCCCTCCCCAATCCAGCCTGATTTCCGGGGTGCAAAGAAGAGCAGTACAACAATGGTGAGCAAAACTTTTTATTTTCCAGGTATTCCTGCAGATACGATGGCATATACGGGCTCGCCTTATCTGCAGACATGTCCGTCAACAGGAGAAGAAGTAGGGAGGACGATGAAAATGGCAGACCATAACGTGTGGAGCATCCTGTTGAGGAAAGAAAAGCATGGGGGAAGAGAGGTGCCCTCCGCCTGAGGAGGGGACCCCGTGCGTGTCGCTGAGATGGGGCTTATCCCTCAAGTTTTCGAAGGTTCCCCTTGCGTTCGGGTGGAGCTGGGGTGCCCTCCATATGAGGAGGGG